TTGAGTTGGATTTAAGTGGACATTTACCTATGCTAATGGTTAAGCCAATAGAAGAACTTAGTTAATATAAAACTTTAATATTTTTGAATTAAAATGTATCTTTTTTAGAACTGAAGGACTCATCAAAAATTAAAAATTAATTCTTATAAAATTAAAAGTAAATGTTATTATAAAATTATACTACTAAATAAAAAAATATTTATTATATATATACTTTTATCTGCTTCTCTCCTAATCCAACTCATTCTCTCTCTCTCTAGAACAAAGTTTTTTTGAGGAGAAAAAAAGGAAACACAGAGTATTTTACAGTTCTCTTTTGCCTCTCTTCGCATTTACACTTTGTTCCTTCAATCTCTTAAAGGCCCCTTTTCTTAAATCTTTTTCTTTTTGTGTTTCGATTTAAATACCCGTTTCGGAACTGTTTTTGCTTAGTAAAAGGAAAAAAAAAAAAGAACTAAAAAGAGAGGCATTACTTTATGGATCCGGAAGCCGGGTCTGTGACCCGGGAGTCTCGGCTGGTACTTCCTTTTTCTTTCAAATTTTTCGATTTTTTTGTTGAGATTTTGTTGTTTTTATTGACTCTGCGTTTCTCTTTAATCGTGGTTTTTGATGTTGTAGTTTTCAAATGCTTTGTTACCTTTGGATTCTGTTAGTTTGCTGAGAAAATTTGAAAGGAAAGAATAGGATTTCTGGTTTCGTTTACGTTGATAATAAATAAATTTTTGTATAGGTTATTGAAATGGAACTACATGCGATTAATTAGCTAAGTTTACGTTGCGTTTTGAAATTATTTTTCATTTAAAATTCACCATAGTTTTTTTTCTTTATCTGTCAGTTTTTATTCAATTTGGTTTTTCTTAAGCGTTTGTTCTATTTTCTTGATAGCTCTTAACACTATGTTTTAAGTATTACATTTATTTGAAAAATTGGAGTTCCAGAATCAGTAAAATTTTATATTGCTTCCTGCAGTTAACTTGTTAACATGCTTTTTTTCCCGACTAATGTTCCATTTATTGTAGATACCAGAATAATGGCATAACATTTTTGGATATGTTATCATGTTCAAGAAATGATAATCAATGAGAAAGTTCTAATATGTTTGGTGCTTTTTTTTACATGCAGAAATTTTACAAGTCTACTTTATGCCTAGCTTACCAGAGTTTTGGTGTTGTTTATGGTGATCTGAGCAGTTCACCAATCTATGTTTACAAAAGCACGTTTTCGGGGAGGCTAAGACTTCATGAGGAAGATGATGAAATCCTTGGGTTACTGTCTTTGGTTTTCTGGACTTTGACTCTAATCCCTCTATGCAAGTACATTATATTTGTGTTAGGGGCAGATGATAATGGTGAAGGTGCTTTCGAAGACCTGCATATTTTATTTCCTGATTTATTGAGAAAACATTATCTGCACTTTGTAATGATTTCCTAAAGGAGGCCTCGTTCCTGCAGGTGGAACCTTTGCTTTATATTCATTGCTTTGTCGGCGTGCAAAGTTGGGTCTTTTGAGTCCGTCCGATGCACCTGATGATGATATATCTGCATATGACTATGGGCCACACAGGAAGGAGACTGTAGCTAGTTCTATTTTAAAAGAGTTCTTTCATAAGTATCATAGTTCTCGGATTGTGCTGCTTCTACTTGTGCTCTTGGGGACTAGCATGGTTATTGGTGACGGCATCCTAACCCCATCAATGTCGGGTATTATATCTCTCTGAATGACTTAGAACTACAATTCCTTTATTATTTTCACATGTATGAATCTGGAAGTTAGATATTTTACGGAGCATGTGATGTTGCTTTGCAAATGAACTGTATGGAATTTAATATGGGTTGTTACATGCTGATTGATTTACTATTAATAAAAGTTGCATTTATTTACTTGTCAGTAATTTTTTACCCCTTTATGATTTTTTACTAATGAGGTGTATTTCTTTTTCAGTTCTTTCTGCAGTTAATGGTGTCAAAGTTAAGGCTCCTAGTCTTCACGGGAGTAAGTCAAATTAGCGTTTTCTATCTTCCTTTAAGGTGTAGGATCCCTTTACCATTGATCAAGAGTCACTTACTTCCTAATTACATATATCTACAAGATAAGCCCACCGGCATTTTTCCAGTTGCTATTTGGAAATTGCATTTGGACAGGGGTTTCTATAACTCCCTTTTGAATGGAGCTAGTATAACCTGTGATTTCTGATGCAGATTATACTGTGTTTGTTGCTTGTGTAATTTTGGTGGGGCTGTTTGCACTTCAGCATTTTGGCACTCGTAGCGTTGGATTTCTTTTTGCTCCTATTTTGTTAGCATGGCTCTTTTGCATTAGTACTGTTGGAGTTTACAACACAATATACTGGAACCCACGTGTAGTACGTGCTCTGTCACCATATTATGTATATAATTTTTTCAAAAAGGCTGGAAAAGATGGATGGAGTTCTCTTGGAGGTGTTGTTCTTTGCATTACAGGTTCGCCAGTTACCTCTTTTGCAGCCTCTTCCAATTAAGGTAATTAGAATGATGATTTTCCTTCTTGCAATTATCAGGCGCCGAGGCCATGTTTGCAGATCTTGGTCATTTTTCCAAACTTTCAATCCGGGTAAGTTCTTATCTGTGCTTGGATTTGAATAATTTGGAAAAGAATTAGAAATATCCTATCTATTTTGCTTGCCTCAAGCGTTATAGAAGTCTTTGTGAATGTTCAAAGCATGACATTTATGATCTTATTTCTTTATTTATATTTACATATGTTTCTGGTGAACAGCTTGCATTTACTGTTGTCGTATACCCTTGCTTAATTGTGGCATATATGGGTGAGGCTGCTTATCTCTCCAAGAACAAAGAGGACCTTCAGAGAAGCTTCTATAAAGCAATCCCCGGTAAATCCAACGAACAAGTCTTGTAATATTTAATTTGAGAGTGTCCATGTAAATTTGATAACTACTGTGTTTTGTCAAAAGTTACATGTAAACCATATAGATTAGAGATCAAATTTTAAAGTTCTATGATATGAAAGGCTGGATGAGTTTAACAGCTTTCTGTTTAGGCTGGTCTACTACTGCGCGGAAAAAATAAGATGTCTGGACTGCTTAAATTTTTAGATATGTGCTCGGTGCTCCAATCAAATAACACAATAATTTTTTTTGTAGAGGTTGTATTCTGGCCGGTTTTTATCATTGCAACACTTGCAACAATGGTTGGTAGTCAAGCAATTATTTCCGCCACTTTCTCAATAATCAGCCAGTGTAGGGCTTTGAAGTGCTTCCCGCGTGTCAAGGTGGTGCACACATCAAACCACATACACGGGCAGATCTACATACCCGAGGTGAATTGGATCCTGATGGTTTTATGCCTTGCTGTTGTGGTTGGGTATAGGGACACGGACATGATAGGCAATGCATATGGTACAGTTTTGGGTGCTCTATCTCTTATATCTTTTGTCTCCCTGCAACTTACTTTCGATTTTAACTTGTTTCTGTTCGTGTTTTAGGTCTTGCGGTTATCACTGTAATGTTGGTTACCACCTGCTTGATGTTTCTGGTTATTGTCATGGTGTGGAAGAGGAATATTTTTAGAGCTTTAGCATTTGTCATCGTTTTCGGATCTGTGGAATTGCTTTACTTCTCCGCATGCCTGGGAAAAGTTCATAAGGGGGGTTGGCTTCCTCTGATTTTCTCGCTAATACTACTGTCTACGATGTGCATATGGCACTATGGTACTATGAAGAAACAGGCATACGAGTCGAACAACAAGGTCAGCTTGGACATGCTTCTAAGCATGGGCCCAAACCTTGGGATAAATCGTGTTCCTGGATTAGGTTTAATCTATTCAAACGTGACCACAGGCGCCCCTCCAATGTTTTCCCATTTTGTCACCAACTTTCCTGCCTTTCATCGTATCCTTATATTTGTTACGGTGCAATCTCTTACAGTTCCAAAAGTTCCTGCCAATCAGCGCTTTGTTATCAGTCGCATTGGCCCACCCGAGTACCGTCTCTTTCAATGTGTAGTTAGATACGGTTACAAGGATCAAAGGAAGGACAGTCATGATTTTGAGGATCTTCTGATCGAAACCATATCAGAGTTTTTACAGCGTGGCAACAATGATAGCGAAGCATGGTGGGAACCTGTAAATCAACAGGAATCAATCCCACACGAGGGTGTTACTGCTTCGACTCTCGAGAGTGGAGTTAATACGGGATCGAGCAAGAAAATGGTGAGATTTCGTGGTGTGGGATGTAACAAGGAATTAGAAGATCTGAAAGAGGCAAGGGAATCCGGACTGGCATATATGATGGGAAGCACCTGTGTTTTGGCATGCGATACATCTTCATATTTGAAGAAGTTTGCCATAAACTTCGTTTACAGGTTCTTGAGACAAAACAGTAGGCACCCGGCCACGGCCCTTGGGATTCCACACACCTCTCTGATCGAAGTCGGAATGGTTTATCGTGTATAGATCTCGACATGATCTTAAACAGGCTACATTGCGATGATGGTAAGGATCTGCTGGTGCTAGGAAGAGTCTGCAAGCTGCAAATAATCAAACTAACTGCCTGAGTTTTAACACTGTTTTGTAATTAGGGCATGTAATTTTAGGGTTTAACATACAGTTTTACTCTGGTTTGGCGTTTTTTTTACAGATCTAAGCTCTTAGGAGTGAATACGCAAACATAATTCTCTCTCGTTCTTCGTTAGAGTTAGAACAAGAATCGGCCCATATTTCTGTAATATCTTTCAATTCGTTTAATAAAAGTTTGGAAAACTACCTATTTGGTCACCCACTTGTTATTTATTTTTCGTTTTGATCATCCAACTATTAACTTTTAAAAAATTATATCTAACTTTATTCAGTTCTTATTGATTTTAAAAAATAATAGTTATATGACTAGAATAGAAACCAAGTAATAGGCAGATAACCAAATAATTAGTTTAGCCTAAAAGTTTTTGCAGGCTTTACTGGATTAAACTACGGAAAACAAAGAAAATTCAAATCAAACGGTATATATATATAATGCAAAAAGAAGAAACAATTCTCTAAAGAAGCCAGATATGAAAAATCTTGGACCTTGGGTGTAGCTTCAAATCTGAGACGACGCTATCAAGCACTGGATAAATTGTCAGGCGCCTTGGCGTGTGGAGGAGATGGTGGGAAAGCGGTGGTTGCTGCTGCTCCGGGTGGCGGAGCTGGAACGCCGTAAACCTGAGGATTGGCCCGGAAATCTTGTCGGCCTTTAGCTCTTCCAAAGAAAAAACATCCGGCACCAAGTAATATGCAGAAGAAAATTAGTGGAAGACAGATGACTATAACCATACCCATAGTGGCTTCAGCTCATCCCGAATTTTCTGTTGTTCGTTTTGTCTGGAAGAGGATTCGGGGGGACAGTATCTTATTTATAAAGAGGGTTTTGGATTCTTAAATAATGGAGACGTTTCTTGTTCTGTCCAGCTACAGGGTAGGGTAGAGACCTTTTTAAGTGCCAACGGTCAACGTTCAAGCCTGCAACTGCTATTTTTTTTATCTGATGGATTTCGGACTTGATTTTATACTGTCGATTTTTTTTTATAAAATAGGATTCATGTTTTTTCAAAGTCGCATTTGGATTAAATCGAATTTAGAATAAAAAATATTGACTATGAGATAATAATATAATTATTTCTTATATATTTAAATTTTTTTATATATATATTTAATTAAGTAGCTAATACATCAAATAAAATATATATATATATATATATATATTTATGTTAGATCAAGATCAAGTTATGTATAAGTTTATCATAAAAATTAATTCAAATTTTGAGCCGGATAATGAGCAGAAATATATAATACTCATATCGACAAAAAAATCAACTCGACCCACGATATTACTAGTATTGTCAAAAATGAAATACATATTAACACAATATTTAAGTTAAATGAGAAATTGGGAATCAAGAAGTGCACGTGCCGGAGTGGTTATCGGGCATGACTAGAAATCATGTGGGCTCTGCCCGCGCAGGTTCGAATCCTACCGTTCACGTTTCGCTTGTTTTTGTTTTTTAAAGACAATTTTTAAATAAAGTTGACGCCATCTTATTGCTTCAAAAACATGATTTGAGTATGACGATAATGTTGAGTGATCATAACAGCATCTGCAATGAATTTGCAACCATTGTCTTTATGGCTGATTATATCACGTTTTTCCAAATGTTCTTATCATGTTTGTATGACAGTGATCTTCTTTCAACTACAGAAAGACATAACCTCTCACCTTCCCTCAGTAATGCTACTGAAATCACTACTTACTGGAAATAGAATTGGTGTTGCCTCTTGGCCCGCGACATCTTCGGAGACAATCCCTCCGGTTAAATCTTTAAAACTCCAGTCAGTAAGGTAACTTGGTCTAGTTACAACATTGCTCACTTCAATATCTCCGGCAAGCATAGACACTACATGAGACATGGGTGGCCACATCGACGGCGATCCCTGAGTGCACAAAAGTGCCACCATGGCCACTCGGAGAGCTTCGTTTTCATCGAACTGGGCTAAATCCGGATCAACCAGATCTAGACTTCAATTCTTTTCACGTAGAGTCCATGCCTGGAAATATCGTAGAGAATCTAGATGAATTTATATCTTCTTTTCAAGGCAATGAAAAAATGGATTGCCTAATATATTACCCATTCAAGAAGATATATTTTATGATCCTCCAAGCTGTTATCAGAGTTTGGTCTACCACTTAGAATCTCCACAGCAACAATAACGAAACTAAAAACATCAGCTTTCTCGGTGAGATGTCCGTGCAATGCGTACTCCGGTGCCAAGTAGCCACTTGAACATCAATTAAATCACATTTGGTGAGTGTTCATCCATAAAATCACTATATTCCGTTACTTGGTTTACACGTTTCATGAACTCTTTATTAGGAAATATCTAAAGCGGCTTACATAGTTCCAGCAACCCGAGTGCTCATGTGCGTTTTTGAGTCATCATATAGCTTTGCTAATCCGAAATCAGATATTTTGGGGCACAAGTCTGTATCAAGTAGAATATTACTTGCCTTAATATCTCTGTGTACAATCCTTGGCCTAGACTCCTAATGAAGATAAGCTAATCCTCTTGCAGTTTCTAAGCAGATGTTGAAGCGTGTTGGCCAATCAAGATGCAGGTTACTATGTCCTACAATATAGCATCAGAAAACTTATCAATTTGTTCAGTAATGAGTAATCAACAATGGAAAAAAAATCAACAGCTCTTCGCCACATTTTCCATGTTAATCATGTGATCGTACCAAAGAGTGTTTGATCGAGGCTTTTGCTTTCGAGATACTCATAAATGAGCAGATGTCGTTTCCCTTTGATGCAGTATCCGTGCAGTTTGACAAGATTTCGATGCTGCACTGCTGATATTGTGAATACCTCAGCAGTAAATTGACTCTTTCCTTGCCTAGATGAGATTGCAAGTTGTTTCACGGCTATCACCCTCCCATCTGAAAATGTACCCTATAAGGTAATCTAACTTATAATTTTTGTTCAGGCAATCATTATAATTTTTGCACCCCAAAAACTGTAGAACATATTATATACCCTGTAGACAGCTCCAAAACCTCCTCCTAATTTGTTCGAAGGACTAAGTCTTCTGTGGCAGCTTTTAACTCAGAATAACTAAATGTGTTCGGTCTGGTGCCAATATCAAGAGGCATTACAGAGTCAAGTAAGGCAATTAGTAGGCTGCAAGTTGGAGCAATGAAATGAAAAAGACTTCTCATGTTATATTATCGGTTACCATGATCAGATTTTATTTTGAAAACTCCATTGATACTAAACAGAGATCTGAAGCTGCACCTTTTTCTGATATACGATTACTAATGCGACTATATAATATATATTAACTCAAATCTGATGCTCACCTTCCCTCACCTCATCATCCCCTTTGCTCTTTATGTAAATAATAGTACATATATGTATCAAAGCCAAGACCACAACAGAAACTGTAATAACAGCAACCAATACTGTCCATTTCTTCTCTTTAGACGGTATCTCACCGACGGTCCATGCGTCTGAGAAAGAAAATAGATGTATTAGAAACAGAACACAAAAAATAAGCAACGAAGTGTATGTTGCATAAAGTTTTGCGAGTGTTATCTTACTTGGAACAACACTAATAGCCGAAATGGATGGACCGTAAATACCCTCTTCTTGTATGGTAGAAGTCCCGTTAACAGCCCAAAGTACGTGAATTTCAAGATGGTTCCCCGTTACTTTAGCTGTCAAGCTCTTAGTTATTGGTTTCTCAGCAATACCTGCCTCCTTCGATATATCGAAATCCCTCAATCGCCGGGTTCTCTGATGAAGCGTTGATGAGATACTATAGCAACAAAATTTCTAATGTAGAATTAAGTGAACATAATTTTTATCATAGAACACCGAGACAAGGGGAATAAACTGTATGATATCATAATATGAAGCACATACATGCTAGAACACTCCCCGAACAGGCGTTCGACACACTGGCATATGAGAAAAAATAAAAATGAACACGTTCAGAACATGTTTGATTACTTTTCGACATATTACCTGAATATAAACATCAAAAACACGCCTTGCTATGCTCCGGGTCTGAGAGGCTCCGTTCGGTAAACCTATTTCTGCAAAAGACAAGTTTATAGTGTAGTCTCCATTGTCAAAGCCTAGGCCATAGTATCTGATTGATCCAGGGAATAGCCTTGAAGTCCGATTCCGATTCTCTCGTTCCGCAAACTCGCCTATATTGCTAACTTCCCATTTCCGTGTTCTGGTTACTTCATATGTTGCTGCACAGAGAAATTTGTTATCAGCTTCGAATAATATCCCATTAGAACCATCTGTTGTTCGCCACATTTGATTGAGAACTTTGCATCTTGCAATACCAACATTGAAATATGTTAGGGAAGTATTAAGGACTAGAAATGATTAAATCCGACAACAGATACTGGTTCCAAAGTTTTATCTTGTACATCGTGAAGAATTCCTATTGCATAGTGAGTGTCTTCCAAGACATTCTGATCCTGGTAAAAGCCTGAGGAATTTCAAAATAATTTATGGATTAGGAATTTCAAAAGCATGTGTGGTTTCCTAGACGTACAAGTATTCCATCTAGAAGGTTATACAGTTATAACTCATTCAGAAAAAATGTATAGATGAGCGAAAAATCAGAAGGCTTTGGGACAAGAACTCACCTTATGTTTGAGTTGTTAAGTGTGAAGTTGTTGCCGACCAAGTTCATACGTAAAATGCCATGAAACAATGTCTTATTTGTATCAATTAACTTGCAAGGTACATGTATGTATGCACATTGATTGCCAGCCAATTGCTAACTAACTATCAACTGTTTAACAAACAAGGTACATGTTGTAAGCTCAATTTGAGCACCAAAAATGGCATAAGCTTCGAATTGACTTAAGTTAGAAAGCAAAAGCAAGTAAAGTAGGGACCGTGATTTACGTACAGTTGTGGGATCTTGTCTGCCCAAGAAGGCAAGTCTCCTGACAGTAAATTGTATGATAAATATCTGCACAGAAAAGTATATTAGCAGAAAGCGAGTATGGAGTATGACTATATTACCAGAAACAGGAGGACTTGAATGCTTTTACATATTATTAATAAAATATACAAAGAAAATATCTAAAATATATAAAAATTTCATGGGGTGATCGTCCTGCTCTCATCCATTACTTCATGCAAGCATATGTGTGCTATAAATGATTGGGGAACAAATTTTTGCACGCATCAAAACATAGTGGGTTGAAAGAATAACTTAAGCATATGTGTGCTATAAATGATTGGGGAACAAATTTTTGCACGCATCAAAACATAGTGGGTTGAAAGAATAACTTACATGGTATGAAGAGTAGTTGGTTGGTTGGGAATGGCACCTGTGAGACTATTATTTCCAACAAACCTAGCGTCCTAGCCAAATTCAATAGCAAGAGAGACATGAGGCCAACCCCAAAATTCTAAAGATGAAACCGACTTAAGCTCTGATATTTTCAACTATGGAATGGAATGGTTTTCTTCTCGGTAGCTTACGAGTATTTGACAGAATCCATCGTAAACTTATCACTTGGAATTGTGCATGTTAAATTGTTGAAACTCAAATCCCTATAGGAAGATAAAAAGAAAGGGAAAATAAATCAGCTAATCCATAAATTTAGATAAAAAAATACAGATGAATACAAGAGGTATAGAGTATGTGCAACTCACAAGTCATGCAGGTTTTTTAGATTTCTTAAGAAACCAAAAGAACTCCCATTATGTATACCGTCAATTTTCCTACAAAAAACTACATATTTACGTACATGTATCACATATGAATTTGCAGAAAAACAAGACATCTCTACTTACAAATTAGC